GAAGATCCTTGAGCAAGATCGAAACCGCTCGTGGTACGCTCTTCTAAGACGTGCAGCGATATATAACATTGCACCAAGATTTGTAAATGGTGTTTGACAATAATATTCTGATGAAAGATAAATAACATCATGAAAAAATAATACTGGTGATATAGACATTAAAGCAAATATAATATCAATTGGAATCAGAATACAATAAAGTTTAAAACTATGAAAAAGTTTTCGTCGATAAAAAACAACACGACAAAATCGAAAGATAGATTGAAGAGCATAAGAATCATAAACAATACAAAGAAATCCATGAATAAAAAAACCTCGATAAATACACGAAATTCTATTATTGGAATTTTCTAATTCAATACCAATAAATCCGCATAAACTTGATATTGTCATACTTGTTAAAACAATTGAAGAGAAAAGCATTGAAAAACATGTATGACCTACAAGTAATATTGGAATTGATTGACTTTGACGATGATATATTATTATTATTATGATTATGAACATACAAATTAATCCTGTAATTATTGAATTAAATATAGTAATACCATTTAAAACAATATTTATTATTCTCCAACTATCCATATTAATTCGTTCACAATAAATACAAATCTAAAACTTTAACAACAAGATATCTTCATATTAGTTTATCCTCACTTTCAAGTAGATTCTTTCAGTTCTACATCTATATTAAATCTCGTCTACTTCATTCGTGATACTATTTTATCAAAGAACATATATTGCGTGTACACGATCTACTTATTTCAAATAATTTTAATTTAAAACATCTGCGAGCACATTTCCACATTTTTTCTATCCGATGTTTTTTATATTTATATCTTTATTAATAAAAGAGATAATGTTCTTCCAGAACATTGTTTTGAACACTCAAAACTCCTAGAGATATGTCAGATACACTAAAACTTTTGCGACATTTCTTATTTCGCATATATAGAACTCGACTTGAGAAAATGCGCGATGAAAATCTTCTAATATTCTCAACATATATGAAATTCTAAGTACTTTTCTCTTTCATATTTCAAATAATTATACTTACAAATTCAAATAAAAAGAAAAAGAAATGTTATAAAACTATTTGAAATATCCCAAAGAATAAGATTTTACAACTCTTGTTGATTTTAAATGAGATCGAATTACAAATGTACTTTGATGACTTTTATTTTAATTTTTTCCTACTTGCGGTATTCGCTAGACATTAGTATCGTGAGTTTTCCATGACTAAATCCTTTGGAACTTCTAATTACGGAGGAGAATTTTAAAATTTATTTTTGAGCATAGACTTAAATGATATATCAAAGTTAAATTTTCCATATGACTTAACTCGAAAAATCTCTTGACGATACTCGTCATTAGATAATTACGACGCAATTTTTTCAGGTGGATTACACAAAGTATTTAAGGTTGATATACCTGTATTTGGTAACAATAGAAAAACAGAACAAAATGTATGTCCTAAAAGAATTTTAAAAATTCTTCCTCATTCTTGGTTTCTTTATGTTCTAATAATTTGATAAAAATAAAAAAGATTTATTGAACTTATAATAGATAGAAATATATGATACATAGTTAATAATTAATATGCGCCCACATAATACTTTCAAATGACTGTAAGCGTTTTATATAATATAGATGTGACATTTTTCTTATTTAATTATCTCATAAATCATTCATTAAAATACCGAACGTTTAAATAATAAATTTTATCATATTTCCATAATTAGTCAACATATTTTAACTATAAAATAAGAGTTTTTTTTTGTAAAATATTGTAGAGAACTACTGTCTTAGTTAGAAGAAATAATTAGTTCAACAAAATTTACTTAAATAATCTCGGTTGGATTTTGTTAAATACGAAAAATAGAAATTGGTTTTCTTTAAAGAAACAAATAATTTTAGTATGCGCAATAGATAATCATGTGTTTATTTGAGAAAATGAATTAATAAGTGTAAAAGGTACGATGAAAACTTTAATAAAATTTTATTTTCTTGACAAAAAGATAATGAATAAACCCGAGGTATAAGAACTTTTATATCGTCATATTAATTCTTATCTTCCAAAGTGAATATCATTAGCAGATATTAAAAAATATTTTTATCTTTTAACAACAAATAATAAGATTGTTCAAAGAGATAAATGAGTAAAAACTTTGCCTATAGGATTTGTTTCTAAAGCCTTTTTTCTATGTACATGAAATAAGAGAGAAGATAGAATCGATAATATAACTATCATCATCATCTCAACTTTATCTTGGACAATAGATTTTTCAAATGGGAACAAAATCTTCTTTTCAAAAAAAATTCAAAAAGAAAAATTGGCGTTGAGGATTCTATCGAAATCCTCACATCCATCAATATTCTTTATTTCTACTGAGACATGAAATTGTGTTAAAACTAAAAGATAAAATAATTCAAAGTTTATGTTTTATTTGATTAGAAATAAAATGGTGAATAAATAGATTTAAAATAAAAATAAAATGTCTAGTTGAAGTATATTATTATTGTTTTGATGGATAATTAATGTGACTAATAAGAAGTTTTCTATTACTATGAATATTGCCGATAGCATTTGTTTCTCGATGAAGTGATGGTTCACGATTTTGATTTTTATGAAAACATCTTTGAATAATTTTGTGAAATTCTTTTCGAAAAATAGTACCCGTCAATGTATAGAAATAAAAACTAGTTGTATGTGCAAAACTTGTCATTGAACCTAAAACTCGAGTGGCAAAACTTTCTTGAGCAATACGAAGTGTACTCTTTGTAATATTAGCAGTAAATGATGAATAAAGTTGATTGATAGAATATGGTAATGTTGCAATCATAATAACAAGTACTTGAGCAATTAACATACGTAAAAGTTGATTATCTGTTCGTCGAAGAATTTGATTATTTCCAGAAATTGTTGGAACTACTCGACGATGTTGACGAACATTATTTAATGTAAGTAAACCAAAGAGAAGCATTAATAATGATGGACAAAGTGAATATAAAATCATATACCAAAATCCAATAAATGCACGATAAATACCTTTTTGAGGACTACATGTTCCTATTATATTACCAGATTGATTAGTTGTATAATATATTTCATAATAAACAAGCATATGACTATATAAAATCATTATTATTAAACTTAAAATTGGTATTGACCATCGTGCTACTTTTAATGAACTTAATCGACGAATATTTACATTAGATGAACTATGAAAATATCTATCAAGACATGCTAATAAAATTAACCAACAAGGTATTGCACGTGATGAATAATTTGCAAAATTTTCTATTTTACAAATTCCAAGATTGCTATTTGTCATATCTATATTAAAATTATTTGAAAGAATACGTAAAGGTACAATTATATATACAACAAATAAACTAAAACATGTTGACCAAAAAAAATATACTGAACATGGTTCACGATTTAAACTTGGACGAGTAAATATAATCAAATTAAATACAAGACCAATTGCACCTAAAATAAAATTAGTAAAACCTAATACTAAGATTGTTGTTGTTGCTGCAGAGTTTATTTGTACAATTACATCATTAATAGATGACATTTTACAAATACAATACAATTTTAATTACAATCTATATAGAAGAAAAGAAAAATATCGTTGTATTAATTACGAGTGTTACTTTATCTCAACTTTGTTTTAAAAATAAAGATTATCTTTATTCTTTACGAAGTAAAGATAAAGTAACAACCCTAATGTTAACCAACATTGATTATCAAAAAGGAACATTCTTTTTTTTCCTAATGATTAATAGTGATCTATATACAATTTAATAAAATAATTTTATGGAAAAATAGAAAAACGCAGAAATATAATATTTATGCAAAGATTTTCTTTCATTATATTCAAGAAAAAAACACGAGAATTTACGTTTTTAGAATAAATCTTATTAAAAAAAAAGAATCAAATAACATCTCTCATTTGAAAAAGTCAAAAAAGAAACTATATTCTATAATTACTCTTTGTATTTGACAACGAATGTCTCATCCATACAAAAATTTATTTAAGACGGACATTTTAATCATTATATATATTTGAACTGTAGTTTAAATATAAGAATAATTTATGAAAGAAAGAAAGAAGATCAATAGAGGAAACAAAAAAAGAAATGATCTAGTGGCTATTTATATAATTCAACAGAAAATAAAATTGATGATTAATAACCAGTTATTGAAACATTAATCTTGTGTTTTTGTTTATGTTATTTTAATTTCTACTTTTATATTTAGCAATTCTTAGAAATAATTTCTATTAAAGAATATTTTCATTAAAAAATTCAATAAATATATTTTATTCAATGTCGATAAAAGAAATCATTTTCAAATTCATCGTTTATGTATTCAATAAAAAGAAATTCTTTAAAATTTTTTATAAAAAAACGAGGAAAGTTCTTATTACACAAAATTTCTTTAATTAATTTGTATCATAACAGAAAATATTCTGTTAACGACATATTTTTGTTTTGTAGGTGTCGATGACAGTTAGAGATTAAATTCAATATTATTTTATTATAATTTAATCAATACAAAATGAAAAAAACAGAGTTAAACATGTTCATGTCAATCGAATTTAATAGATAAATTTTATTTTCAACATTTACTAATATTTCACTTATTGATGAACGTGTCTCAAATATGTTCACAGTGAAATTTCGTCTTTAAAATTTGTGGTACCATCAAAATAATATCTAAAATAATGAATAAATATTAAAAATAGTATACGTATCAGTATTATTAAAGTTTTTCATCCAAATAAAAATGTATAGATGTTAAAACTTGCAGTTATTGTATAATACGAGATATGTTCAATAATCTGCTAAAGTATGAGAAGAATTTGCTTTAATTAAATACAATAATGATCAATTTTAAAGGAAACCATGAAAGGTGCACTCGAGACATTTGTTCTCGTAGCACTTGCTCTTCAATAACATTTGCACTCCCGTGATATTTACTCTTCAATATCAACTGTCGATCTTGAGGATGAGGTTGTGAGTGTGAATGTGGGTGTAAGTGTGGATAGGTGTGGGTATATTATGGTTAATATACTCATACTTACATCCTCACTCACACCCACATCCGAAAAGATCTTTCAGAAGTATGCTATTACCTTACAAAACCTATTATGACTCATTCTCACTGAAAACAATTCTCTGGAATTGTTTACTATTGCTATACTACAATCACAGTTTAATTTTACACGTACTACAGAGTGACACAATATTTCGGAAAAAAACATACTTATCTTTATTTTATGGCATCATCTCTTCAGCACATACCGAAAAACCTGAGCAAAATCTATCATCAGAATACACGCTAACTTTGAAAATCAGAATTTTTATTTATTATTTTTCGAAATATTGTAAGACAATAAAAACAACACGTAGTATCATCATTATTCCTTCATTTATGTTTATTTTTACGCTGGGAATCTTTTTTGTTTTTACGAAATCCTGTTTGGTTTCGAAGTGCACCCTTTTTTCTGTGTGCTTCTATTGCGTTCCAGAAAGTCAGAGATTATACGTTGAACTTCAAATCTGATTAGATTACCCGAGAGATCTAGTGCGGTGAGTGTCTAGATGAAAAAGTGTAAGTAAAGATAATTGGTAAGTGAAGAAACAGAATATTTGACTATTGTCTTGTGGGTTTAGAATACTTCTTCAAATTTAGATTCTGTACAGCGCTCACGATTGTTGGGTAAAGAGCTGAGTTAAAAAGAAGTTAGAAAGGGTTACGTATGCGTAAAAGTTTTTGATCTATCAGTTGCTATAATTCTGAAACATTTTTGTGAAAGAAGGAAACAGTACTGGGTTATAAACAATAATCTGTTAATTAGTGCTACGCAAAACAATTTGAAGTTCTGTAGATATTGGAAAAATATAGTTCCATATCGGTAATTCATGGATGAGATTGGAGATGTATTTTACATGAGAACTTGGTTTGAGCTATCTCATCTGGCAAAATTAATGGGTCCGGTTCGTTTTGCCAAGAATAGTCATTCATTTCGTTACGTGCTTTTGATGACACTACAAGATTAAATGTATAAAACAATATTGATTGATAAAAATAGAAGAAGTACAGAAATTATTGGATAATATCAGATTCATAATGGATGAAAGGCGAATACATGCTAAAACATCAAATTATTGATACCTCTTACGAAATCTACTCTATATTTTATTTTGCCAATGAATTACTATTGAAATTACGTTCTTGAGAAAAATTCATTTAGATGAAATGCGTTTTAGGGCAACGTTTTTTACAAAAAAAACTTGCTTCGGAAGGATCGTCTCTTGAAGAAATGTTCCGCTTTGGTGGTATGACTATAAGTAATGTGATTGGATGAGAGTGTTAATGTTGTTGTAAGTCAATTTGCTTTTCATCCTCATTTTCCGTTACATATAGTCAGAGTTACCCATGCTCTCAGGGGAGTGTTTCTTACGTGAGTTTCTGAAACGTTATTTCTAACAAGTTAAACTAGCTAGTTTATAGATTGTTAATTTCTTTTAAAATGTTATTTTTATTATTGAAATAGTAATAAAAAAAGTGTTTAGATGAGATTGAAACGATAAACAAGAAACTATTTTTTCTAATTAAAGGGAATATGATGTTGAAATTGCCATAATAGGGAAAAGAAGTTTTCGAAAGAGATTTATAAGTGATAAATTAGTTTATTCACATACATTGTATTAAAGTGATTCTATTTGAATAGAGATTGTAGGAATGAAACATAATTCGTAAGTTAATAAACAAAAATTAGACTATCATGATAGAAAAAGAATTTACCTGATATCGATGATAGGTGTTTAAGATCATGTTGAACCGTTGACATACATCGGTCATTGAGCATAGCATTGTAAATATTGATTGATGATCCAGAACTCGATAGACAAGTTCGACCGGTAACGTATGAAAATTCGCGATAGTTTCATTTGTCATTGTAGCTTCTGATGAAATGCGTGCTGTATAACGTTGTATGTTGGTAATATAATGTATTCGTGTTTTTTGTTCCTACTTGAGTGAATATATATTCGTCACGCATCATAGATTACAAATGATATTACAATTACTTGGTAAAAGGAAAAAACCCTAAGAAAAAAATGACGTCAACTAGAAAATGATAGAATCGATAGAGTAACTGTACGTAACGTTTTTGTTAAGTTTGTATTTTATTAATATCAAATGATATATAATAGACATGAATATTGTGTTCTCATTATAATCAACAAAGGTTTTATGATATTTTTTCAAAATCTATATTGATATTTGATCGTAAAATCAAATACAGATATTTTTTAAAATCGAAAAGAATTTATTCTCACGAAACAGAGTCAAACAAATGACTCAACGAAAAACATATGATCATTAATTTCATCGTTGACGAATGTTAGTACAATCTGATCTATTGTTCGACGATTTTATTAAAATATTTACAAAATAAATAATTCATAGTTTTATAATTAATTTAAACAAATTTAATATATTAATTAATATTATTGATAGTTCTCAATTGAATAGGATCTTGAGTAATGTGACTTATAGGTGTTACACGAGTATAAGAAGGTTTTTTAAAAAAATTCTTTTTAATTCTGGTATAAATAAAAGCAATACTAAAATTATAATTGATATTCATATCATAAAAGTGCACTCCGAAGAATACCATGATAATTTGTAAATTGAACATAATAATAATGTTCATTTGGTAAATAAACAACATCATGTCAAATAAGAAGTGGACACATTACAATACATGTTATTAACAATTCAATTGGAGGGATTATTATATAGAAAGATACAAATTGAATCCAGCGATATTTAAAATATACAATACGACATAAACGAAAAAATGCCTAAAATAAAATAAAATATTTGTTGGTGTATTCAATAAAATTAATCAAAAGTTAAGTGGCGTTTGCAAAGAGATCTATCTCTATAGTTTTAAATAATACTTACCTGATTAATAAAAGTATAATATAGAAGAGGAAATATGTATCCAAAGAATAGACACGATGATGAATTCAAATTAATATTATATAAATCTCGTAATATTGATATTGTCATAAATATATGCACAAATACTTATCATCATTTTCTCTTCACGTTTTCAATGATTTAAACATAAATTATGAATAATAAATAGAAATATAATTAATGATGTTAAACTTCTAATTATACTATGAACAAATGTGATACAACTAAGAATAAAAGTAATTCTTTTATATTCTTCATCAACCATTATTTAGTAGATTCTAATAAACAATTAAATCTAAAATAATTTTTACTTTTTTTTTATTTTACACACTTATTTAATATTAAGTGTTAATATTGACAATAAGAATTTGCTAAAGAATTCTATATGAATTTAATATATAGATCTAATGTTTATGATATTCTTAGAAAGATATTTTCTTTTAGTCAAACATTAATATAGCTGATTTATCAAAATGAAATATTATTTCTATATAAAATTCTCCAATTGATTTGTACATACATTACTTTATGTTTAATTAAATCTCTTCAATAGATAATGGAAACAATTGAAAATAATTTCAATGTCTTCATGGTGTGAGAACTCGTTAGTATAGAACAATATGTTTCTTCTTCTGGAAAAAAAAGAAAATATAAATGTCGAAATTATTTTTAATTAGACGAACGAGAAAATCTTTAGAATTCTTCAACTGTAATTTTCGTTATTTTTATTGTGTACTCAAAAAGTGAGTACACTTCTAGAATCGGTCAGTGTGTCCGTCCGGCCGTCCGTATACACGATAACGTTTGAAAGAATAGTCCGATTGAGCTGAAATTTTGTACACAATTCAGTCTCATACAGATCTCGGTCGAGTTCGAAGATGAGCCTAATTGGTCGGGCCATTCCCGAGTTATTGAAAAAATACTGATATTTCCCTATGATTTTTCTATATTTTTTTGAAGGGAAAAATAATATAATGCCATTCTCGTAAGCAATTTTTCTACCAGAGTCAAATAAAATTCCACTTATTATATAGCATTCAATGGAGAATTTTACAAGCTACAAGATGGTACTAAATTATAGGGGTAAACGGGTTGCACACAAGATTGTCCCTATATAATAGGGTGGGTAAACTACAGAAAACTCATATATGTTAATAATGTGTCAGTGCGATATTTGTTTGTTTTTCATATTACTAATAACACTTTTTCTAGAGTAGATAGAACTCATCAAGAGCTTGAAAATGATGTAAACTAATAGGGGGTAGATATGCTGCATTCGATATGTCGTTAGTATCACACTTATGAAAAATCATGAAAAAGCCATATACCTTAATAGTGTGTCTGTGTGATATTCGTTTGTTCTCCGTAGAGTCAACGTTATTTTTATGTACTCGAAAAGTGAAGTTCACAATAGATTGATTTTGATCAATCTGTCTGAAAGAATTCATCCTTGAGCGCACTAAAGAACTACCCCCTAGTCCCTGCGCATGCCCTCTTTTTAATGTACTGAAAAAGTGAGTACATTACTAGAATCGATCAGTATGTTCGGCCAGCCGTTTACACGATACCTTGCGAAAGGAGAGTCAGATATTAATGAAATTTCTACACAGTTTAGACTCATAAAGATTTCGGTCGAGTTCGAAGATGAGCCCAGTTGACTGGGCTATTCTAGAGTTGTTACAAAAATACTGATATTTCCCTATGATTTCCATATACACTTTTTGCAGTACACATAACTCTCGGATGCAATCCGAAGTTTCCATATTTATTTTCTAGATGGAATAGATACAATCATACTAACTAGAATAGATATGTTTTTCAGAGATCTTTAGAATGGACGTTCGATGATGTGAAAATCATCTTTTCAAAATCTAAGATCTTCTTTTGAGATCTTTTCAAAATCGACATATTCAAAAATTGAATAAATTATCTAAATCGAAATATCGGAAGAGATCACTCGGTACATGTATCAGAATTCGCCTTTAATTTCATAGATGAATTTTTCCTTAGAAAGAATAAATTTTCTTATTAAAAGTAGACAGAAATCTTTTTTTTTCTTTAAAAGAAAATCTCAACTAATAATTTCAATTAAAAAATGTTGATGAGTGCATGAAAATGTCCTAGAATAAGACTTACGATGGATTATGTTCAATATTAAAATAGAATTCGACTCTGAGGATTTGATAAAACATACCTTTTATCTAAGATTATTTTCTTATTGATTATTAATATTAGTTTTGATTCTTAACAAAATGCAATTATAAGTTTATGTTAGATAATAGTATTTATTTTTCTTTGTCGTAATTTTAAGATGAAATGAATGTTCAGAGATTCCGAGGTTATCTATTGATAGTTTTCAACTAAAAAGATTTGAATATTTTTTTATAATTGAATTGATTTGATAAAATAAAGATAATTCTATTAGAATCAATGACTTATGTAAATCAATTATTTCTTTAAGAAAAACTAAAAGAGTTATTCTATAGATGTATTTTCTTACTTCAAATAACTTTTGAATATAAGTTGGAGGAAAGTATAATATTTTCTAGAAGAATTATATGTTACATTTTCAAAATAGAATCAATTTGATTTGTTCGTCAATAAGAACCTTTTTTTTCTTTAAGTTATTAACCATATAATATAAATGAATTGTTTTAATCAATTAATTACACTTGAATCAATGTGTCCTTAGAAATAGTTGATGATATTGAAAGAATAATTTTTTTTCGTCGATTACGTAAAAATTCAGTCTCAAGTAGACAATTCAATGTTTAATCGAGCTTGCAAGTCTTCTGTGTTACAATAAGTGCATCTAGATATCCTTTCTACTTTATTGACACACAAATGCCACTAACAGGACATTGGAGAAATACTAATTTAGATTTATTCTATTTATATAATATGGCAATTGAAGCACTCCATAACTTGTATCCAGAATAGATGATACAATCCTTCCTTGTATTACTCTTTCAAAAAAAGTTAATAGAAATATTTGTTGAAAATAAAATTTTATTTATAGAAATATTCTTCGATCAATAATGTTATAGATTCGTCAATTCTCATCTTTTTTCTTCACATAAAAACAAGAAATTGAAAGAGAAAACTTAAGTAAGATTCTACAATGGATGAGACTTTTGAAAAACAAAACTAAAATACTAATTCATTCTAATAAAGTCACTTTCAAGATACAATAGAAACATTTTTTGAAATTTCTTCCTTTCTAATCTGAATAAGTTTGATGTTTTTACAAAAAATTGGTTTTGACTTAATGGAGATTTGACAAATATTGATCTCATCATAATTTGGTTATATTTATTACGAGAGATTAATCGAACAAGTGAATTTATTTTATTCTAATTAATACATATAATAATATAGACAATTTTTCTCAAAGTATATTAATGAAATTGTTTACTTATTATAAAAATATTTTATATTATTCAACAAATATTTATCTTCTATCTCGAAAATATTATCTTCTATTAAATAAATAAATAAATAATTATCTATAGATCAACAATTTCTATCTAGATGAGATTTAACGTTTTTTTAAAGTAAATGACAAATTTTTTGAGATACAAATTCAATCGAAAGTCACTTTACTAAAGAAAAATTAGAAAATTGTTATCTGGTCTCTGATGAAATATGAATCGGATCGATTGTAGTATTTTCTGAGATATAAATTACGACATCCGCAAGTCCGTCATCGTTCATAAATTCTTCATCATATTCTGTATCCTTCGTAAGTTTTTCGTTGGAATTTTCGCATTTGAGATTCAAATAAGATATTAACTACTTTACAATTTTGGTCGCTTTTCTACACACACAAAAGGAGAGAAAAAGACAAGAAAATAAATTGCGCATTTTCAGTGTGAAGAAAAATCCAATAAACGACGTGTTTTAGCTCTTGTCTACCTGAATTAAAAAGTACCGTTTTTATGCGTTCAGATAAGTGCACTATTTAACGCACCTCTTAGTAAAAACAAGAAAAAAGCATCTGTTTTTCCTCGATTTTGTCTGGTTCAGTTATGTAATTTACACATGAAATAACAACGAGAGTTTTCAGTTTTTTAATAGATTGATTTTTTTGTAAACTTTTCAATTTCTTTGTTTTTCATTATTCACTAAAATAAAAATATTGATTTTTAATATAAAATTTTGCAAAAATATTTTTGATGAATTCTAATATCCATACGCAGAAACCTTTTTACGATATAAATATCTATTAATTAAAACAAAATGTTGAAAGAAATCTAAATTGAACAGTAATGAGATTATCATGCATAAAATCAAAGAAGATAAAGATAAAATAAATAAATCTATTGACCGGAACGAAATTCTATTGAGCATTTTAATTATTTCATAATTAAAAATAAGAATAGAAATAGAAATCAGTTTCTACCGACAACACGTCTCAAGGACAGAAATCTTCTTATTCATCATTTCAATATTAATTAGATGAGAATATATTTGTCAAAACTTTGTCTAGAGATATTTTTATTAACTAATCATATTTAGTTAATGATTTCGAACAATTAGTTTTCTTCAGATCTTACCTCTTCCTACAAATAAATCTAATATTATATAGAAATTATAAGAGAAGTAAAAACTTTTTGTTCTTCTTCTTGTTCTTTTTTTTAATAATGAAACTATAGTCAAGTGAAGAGATGACATTAGAAAGAATTTGACCTATACTACAGATACGTCGTGAGTGAGACTAAGATTGAGTATTTTATCTAATATATTCTAAATTTAATAAAAGAAACGAAATATAAAGTAAATATTCTAATACAATTTTGTTGTTTTTTTAGATTAATAAAATAGGAATGGATGACAAACAAATCGTAACTATTTTGATTATCGTTCAAATAAGTGAACTTGGTTTAAATGCAATTGGATCATGTTTATATGCGATCCCACTTTGTTTAATTCGTCATTTTCATCAACCAATTCATTTTTTAACTTTAAATGTATGTATTTGTTTAATAGTTTGTTGTAGTTGTTGGACAGTTTATTTAACAATAAATGCATTTTATCCTCAAATATTATTAAATATGAAATCATGTTTACCAATATTCTATTTGAATACAATGGTTAATTGTCAAGTTTTATATTCATTATGTATGGTTTCATTAAATCGATTATTTATTATTATTTATAAAACTAAAGGATTATTTCGGACAAAAAGATTTGTTCTCTTATGTATTATTATTCAATGGATATGCGGAGCATTAATACCTTTACCAATCTTTGCTTCAAAACTTCCAGTAAAGAAAATTTTATTTAAACAAATATTTTCTTTCATTTCTTTTCTTTTCTTTTCTTTAGATTTGTCTTATAACAACTCTTGATTTTAATTATCGAATCTATTTATTAATTATTGTTGCAATAATTCCAACACTATGTTTATTTATTACAAATAGTATAATATTTATTTATGCACGTTCATCAACACGACGTGTTCAACCAATTCATGGAAATGATATTCAAGCTCCATTACTTACAAATCGTGATGTTCGATTATTAAAACATATGATATTTATGTTTTCAACATTTTTTTGTGGATGGGTTCCAATTTATATTTTAACAGTAGTTAATCCAAGTAGTTCTGCAATCTCTTTAGTTCAATTTAATATTGTTCGATTACTACCAGAATTAAGTACATTAATTATTATTTTAGATTTATTTATATATAATCATGAATTAAGAAGATATTTTACTAATCGATTACCAAATCGTTTAGGATCTCAAACAAACTAATCATTTCAAATATTCATATATATTCAATTGAATGTTGTCTTCTCTTCTGAGCAGTCATCCTATTCCGCAATGTTGAACATTTCAGGAACCAGTTCCGCTCCGGAATCGATTCCGTTCAATTCCGGGAACTCGATCGACACATAATATCCGATGCCCACTCGAAAATTGATCGAGTTCCGTCCAATTCCGGAATTGGTAGGAATTCCGTGTAATTCCGTAATTAGAAGTAGTTCACGCAATTCCGGGATCGGTGGGAATCGGTAGGAATTCCCAGGAATTCCGTCCAATTCCACTGAATTCCGTCTTGATGCAATTCTCGGAATTCCGTAACGGAATTAGATCGTATCCAAACGGGATAACTTATCAACACAACACAACAAATGTGGGTGAGGTGGATGGTGTGATGCCGGTACGGAATTCCGGAATCGGAACCAATTCCCGCAATTCCGGAATCGGTAGGAATTCCGTGCAATTCCGGAATCGGTAGGAATTCCGTTCAATTCCGGAATCGGTCGAACTCGATCAATCTCTACTGGGTGTCTTATGTTGTGTGTCGATCGAGTTCCCGGAATTGGACGGAATCGATTCCGGTGCGGAACTGATTCCTACAATGTTCAACATCGCGGAATAGGATGCATTCTCTCTCTTCTCTATACGTATATATATATCATATTTAACCAATAAAAATATTCTTCATTCTCAACTAAATTCTTCAATAGTGTCATATTCGAGAAATCAACACTTATTTTCTATATATATTGATGTGACGAATGAGAATTGAAAAAAGTTAATTTTTAACATTAGATTCAATCGGAATATCTATTTGTTGAACATATATGATAATACTCATAGAATTTATCATATTATTTATAACTTCTCTAATGAGTCATCATCGCTTTCATAATCTCAAAGATAGAACACAGCTCGAGTGTTATGAACTATATCAACGTTTTATGGGGAAACATGAAGACCATAATTTGAATGTTTTCATCATTTTCGACGATCTTTATTAATAAAATTTAATTTTTCCTATACAAGATTCATATAGCTTCGTAAATGATCATTTATTACCGTGTCTGTTTGATCTGAGTTATTTATATTTTTATTTCTATTGAAGAAAAACATTTGTTTTATAAAAGTAATAAATAGATTTAAAAGATAAAACTCCTGTAATCAAAAAAAGAAAATGTTTAAAGATTCGATGATAATCTACTTCTATTTTAAATTTGCTTCTTTTCTCCTTCAACAAAGTTCTTCTAAAGCATTGTCATAATATTCACATCTTCTATTTTATTTTCTAATGACGTAAATGCAATTATTTTTCATGAATTTTTATTTTTGTTATTTATCTAAATTCTAATGATGCTAATAGAATATATTAACATAATTGTATTGTTTGTCGATTTTAATCTACAAATAACATTCATCGAAACTCAATTCACTTGGCCATTGACTGTCGCGGTCTGCATGCGCATTTGATTGTATTTAGATATGAATGAGAGTTGATCAATATTAATTTGTTGAATTTTAGCAGAAAATCAAACATTTTCTAAAAGTTTTATATTTGACGAATGAATAATAAAAGTTCATTTAAATTAATTTTAGAAGAAGTTCCAATCTAGATCTCTCTATCATTGCACATGAAAATTAATTCTAAACGTTTTTTTATCTCTATGCACTATGACAAGACAATTAAACTAATAAGTTTGTTTAAAATATTTCTCAATAATGCATACCTTTTCGAGTTTCTAATTCTGGCCTTTGCTTTTCTTACTTGTCATAGAAGATGTTGGGACACATCGTCTTTCTTTTCATATATGCATTTAAAATATTTGTTGATCATGATGAACGCCTTGTTTTATAAAAATAGTTGAACCTTTTTTTCAAACTATTAGAGTATTCTGTGTATACCAACGTTCCGTTTTTTTATTCAGTTAAAATTAAATTTGTACAATATATCTATTACAAATATTTAAGTTAGCGCCATTTTGACACAAATAAATTAAATCTTATATATGTCATTATTGAAATTTGTACAACATATGTATATATATATACATAATTAAGAAATATTTCAAATATTTAAGTTGTTGCTATTTAGATAGAAATAAATAAATGAATATTATGCTATTGAAATAAAATGATAATAGGAACGAAAAAGTAGATTATGAAAAATATGCCATAGTTACCGACAGAAATAATACATGTAAATAAATAAAAATAGTTTTTCTTTACTCTCATAATTAGTCTTTTGACAAGGAATAAAATATCTAAAAGACTTTCCTATGAATAATCATCAATTGTTTGTTTGTTTGTTTATTTTTATTTTTTTTTCTCCTTGTCAATCTTATTTCTCTTATTCAAATAAAAAAAAATTCTAAAGAGTAAAATTTTATTTTTAAATCTGATTAATTGATGAGAAATATTTCGATAAGAGAAATACATCTAAAAAGTATTTGAATTAAAAGTCTATGATGAATATTCATTTTTTGATTATGAAAAGATGAGAATATTTTTTAAAGTTTTATTGTAGAACAATAAAGAAATTTAATTAAAAAGATTTATTTTGTTATTTTAAAAATTTTGACATTGTGTTTGAATTACTTTAAATAAATATTTTTCTAAAATTCTTCAATTGTAATAGTAATGAATATCTCTTATCTCTATAGAAATTTATTTTAATAATGCATTTGCTTAGAAATATCATTGAGAAAAAAAAAGTGAAATTGTATTATTTTATTTGGATTTATTTTTGAAAAAGATGTCAATATAATGGTATTAAATTCATAGAATAATGAATACATTGTCATATTTCTATATGTGTATTATTAGAAGAGCAAAAAAAAATTATTTATTCAATGTTAAGGGTATTTTTTTTGTCCGCATACTGCAAATAGTACTCTTTTTTTTTCTTCTTCAATGTACTTTTGACGCACATCAGCGTCAAATTCGTATTTTTATTTTTTATGCATCGATGTGTAAAAATGGGAAAGAATCCATACATAATTTACAGTAAGAATAAATTTAACTGTTTATTCATACTGTAAGATTTATTTCAAGAACGAACATTTTTTTCTTCTTCTAAATAGAAGTTACAGACATAGAAGTCAATACTTAGTTAGACATTCCAGGTTTGTAATATATATATCGTTTTAGATATTTTATTTTAACATTAATTATTAGAAATGATTCTCACACTTTGAAATTTCTTTTTTTCGAAAATTTCTTCAGAATAATTTAATCTTCAGTGCATAGTTAAAAATAATACGACACGTTTTTTTCTCTATAAATGACCTTGAGATTATAAAAATAAGCGATGAAGTTTTCTTTTTTAAATTGATCATTACATGAATATAATTAATTTTAGTATATTAAATGGCTTGGAATCCTTCACCTAGATATATTTATAATGATAATCAAAATGGAATGAATGTTCATGATATGAATGATTTCGAACCAATACAACTCAGAGTTTCAACAATAAGACAAAAACCATATTATGATGATTATCAATATCAGGATACAAACAACAATAATAATAGATATCAAACACCAAAATCGTGAGTATGAAATTATTTTTCTCTTACTATTTAAAGATATACTAAATCTTAAGAAAATATTATCGATACTATTTTGAATAAAAATTTTGTTGATTTTAACCACTAATAGAATATTGTATAGAATGAAACGTATGATAAAGTAAAGTCTAATAAACTACAAAGATTATATTGATATAAACAAACTGATATATGATGATAATTGTTTATGATATAATTTCAAATTTAATAAAATGTTGTTTTTTTCGATATTAAATATTCGAATTTTGAAAAGAAAATTTTCGTTTCTATTTAAATATTTTAGTGAAAATCGTATTTGCTGTTCGAAAGCATGTATTATTGGACTTATTGTTGGTTTAGTAATTGGTGCAATTGCTGTCGTTGCTACCGCACTTCCAATTGCTCTTACTAAAAAATCTCAATTAGGTATTCTTTTTTTTCATTTTTAACAACATATATTCATTCGATTTTGAAAGATTCTCTGTGAAATTAGAATTATTTTTCTATGAAAACTTAAGCAAAACTTGATAAATCTATCGATAATACTTGAGATAAATGATAAACATATTTTTGAATGTATGATTTAATAATAATTTCTTTATATTTTCTTCTGAAAGGTACAATAGCAACATCACCTAATTGGGTTGGTACCTATGAATTGGATACTTCATGTGATTTGACAGCATGTTGTTGTTTATCTAATCAATTAACAATGTATACAACAAGTAGTAATCAAATTCAAGTGATAGGAACTCTTGCTGGTATATGTACTAATGTTTTAGCTTCAGTTTCTTATGCACAAACAGCACCAACAGGTTTTACATTAAGTTTTCCATGGAGCGGAGCAGCAATTCGTATTATAATGGGTCAAGATAATTCTTATATAGGATATGTTGTTGGTAGTAATGGATATTGTAGTGGGACTGGATTAAGAACATCATTTAGTCATACTAATATCAACAATATAAATATCTATTTAATACTATCGTTGTTATTAATTACTATTTCGATAAGTTTACAATAGAATATTTATTTAAACAATTAAATATTTTCTTTTCTGTTTTATTTTACTTTTTTTAGTTTTAGAATTTCATAAATTTTGTTACGCTTTATTTTTTATTTTTTAATTTAATAAGATCAAGTAAATTAATCAGTGATAAAAGTAATTTTTTTCAAATCAATATTATATTTATCTTTTATTCTTTTTTCGAATAACTTTAAATTAAATAACAATCATAAGAACCTTTTCTTTTTCTTTATTCTTGATTTTTTTTCTATTTGTAAATAAGGTTGTGAGTGAATTAGAGTACTTATCCACATCCTTTTTCTTAAAACAAACAAAAACTTCATTCGAATGTTTGACATTTCTTTTCTCAATTGTTCTACATAAAACAAAAACAGTGGTTGATATGTTTTATTTAAATAATAGATAGTCGAAATATCGAATAAAGAATGTTTAGAAAATGCACTATTATTATTTCATGATCATTTTCGAGTTCTTTTCTTTAACGCAAATCATCTTCAGCTTCGTTGACTAGAATAGAAAGGAGAAGATTTTTTTTTCTGTTTTGATTCATTTCTAAAGCGACAATCTAAGAGTCGGAGAAATGTGAAAAGGAAAATTATCCTTCTGAATGGATTTCATTTTAATACTCAATAAATAATTAATTGAAGAAAAGTAAGTCTGGTTTGTTTTGGATAAACTTAATTCATCCAGAAGTATATTCACAAAACAAAATGTGAGAGGAGATGAGATAAACACTCATCATAATGAACTCTTTTCTTCTTTTAAGAGCAGGAAATCTTTCTTTCCTCTTCTCTAAAAATAACCTTGTTAAATAGATCGTGCTTCTTCTATCTTCCTCTTCTCTCTACATTCTATTCAAACAAACAACACTATCGAGCATTCTATCAGTTCATAGTTTGATCTTGTTCTCAACAAATAATTAACTTTCCTGAGTAGACGAAAACAGACGATGCTCTACGGTATTTTATTAGAAAGTTGTCGCGATGGTATTTCTACAGCTTATGGTCATCAAACATGGACGAGAATTGTACAAGAACTCAACTTTCCGCATGAAACATTTAGTACACTCGGGAGATACGAAGAACATATGATTGAAAGAATTGCTGAATGTGAGTAGTTTTTTGTTTTTTTCCTTTTGTAACTTAAATAGTGCTGCAGCTGAAGTATGAATAGAGAAGAGTTATTTAGGATTCGGAAGACGATTCGTTTACGACAAACTTTAAAATTATTTGAAACTAATCTGGTGAAAGTTACTTTAGTCTTTTTTACCTGGACCTTCTTCCGGCAACTAATGTAAAAAAAACAGAGTAAATATCAAATTATAATTCATTACAATTACACGCTTTTAATCAGAAATAACCGAGAAAATCAAAACCACTTTGACTATTACGATGAATTGCGATTAGAATCGAATAAAGTTCATAAAAAAAATTCATCATAATTGATGAAAAATGGTTCGAAATTTATCGTAATAATCAAGATAGGTTTTGTTCCTTCTTCTTTTCACAAGATTCACTCCTTAAATACTCAATGATATCAGTAGTACTTAAAGAACTGAAAGAGAATCAACATTCTTTATGGCAAAAGATATATCATGTCACAACACTTCCCCTCCCCACCGACAAAGAAAAGAAAAATAATATAACACAATGAAAACATTAGAAAAAATGACTAAAATAAAGAGTACATAAAGTTAGAATAAAACACAAAAACAAAATAGTAATCGAAAAAGATTTTTGAAGAAGATGAAAGTAATTTATAATCAACCAATAGTGTATAGATGGGATATGAATAAAGAAAGGAAGACAAAAACGAGTAAAATAGAGTACCCACCCACAATCTATCGACAAAAAAGCGATAAAAGACGCGTTTTTTCACTTAAGCTGAGACTAAGTTGACCAATAGAAAGTTTTTAGACAAGTGTTGAAACAATAGGTTTTAGGACGTTGTGTAACACAGTGGAAAAGTTGTCTTAGAAAACAGTGCGTTTTTACACTTTTTGTAATACAATTGTATGAAAGTTTTCATGCGCACAAATGTGCCCATCTTCATGTAGAAGAAACTATCGTGTTTTTGAACAAACTTGTCATAGAGCTCCTCATTTGGTAGAGTTTGTATGCATTCAAGCACATAATACGATCAGTTTATTCTCATGCAAACGTTTATATGATTTAACATCAAAATGAATAAACGCAATTTTTTTTAAAAAAATTCTCATTAGGGAAACTAAGCTTTGTTTTAATTTGAAGAACTTATTCAATATCTTATTGAAGGAACGATTATGACTTATTTAGAATCAACAGTCACTTCAAGTTCATTGACTTCCCTTCTCATTGTTATTCTATGAGGCATACTTTAATATTCTTTTAGGTTTGGCTGGGATTTTGCGCGAAGGTTCTCACGACTACTATATGGAATTCTTTGGCGAGTGTTTCGTTCGATTTTTTACAACTTATGGTTACGACAAGATCTTACGCGTGGCTGGCAGACACTTTATTGATTTTCTTCACGCGATCGATCAACTACACGATTCAAATCGTTTTTCCTTTCCAGAAATGAAGTCACCATTGTTCAGTGTGGCTGAAGAAGATGAGCAAGGAGTTGTGTTGATGTACAAGTAAGTTTAGAAAAAATGTTTTCTTCATTTAAATGATTAAAAAGAAAAAGCTTCCTCTCGACACAGCTTACTGACAAATAACGATCCTTTTCTTCTCAATGCTATCATTTGCATTGGCTAAAATACGGTGTGAGTGTGGGTATAGATATCGTATTCATTTAGCATCCATACTCACACCAACCCATTTTCTAAGGATGTCTGATCAAGGAAATTATTTATAGCGTGTGATTTTCTATAAATAAACAGAATTATATAATTCCATCTTCACAAGTGTGAAAGTGAGAGTTACGTAACATCTTTATCAGTCTTCTCTTTTTTTATTTTCTTAAGAACACGTCGTCGTGGTTTTCAACAGTATGTTGTCGGTCAACTACGTGAGTGTGCAAAGAACTTTTACAACCAAATTATTCGCGTGACAGTGCAAGAAGACTTGTCGACAAACGACTGTGAGTGTTACGGAAAGAAGAAATTGTATTTTATAAGTAGAACGTATACGTCTTATTTTTAGATACTCGAATAATGTTTCGGGTGGACTTTAACAATGAAATCGTAAAGGAGACTACTTCTCAGCTGATGAACCAGCTCATATTGTCGAACATCACAAGCTCGACATTCTTCAAAGTAAGTCGCCAGTGAATGAATTCTTCTTTCATGTTTAATGAACTCTCTCGCTCCCTTAAGGTCTTTCCATTTTGTATCATGATTGATCCCGAGATGCGAATTACTCAACTTGGTCCACGTCTGCAAAGTCTGTTCAATGCAGACAATTATGTCATCGGCAAACGGATCAATGACGTCTTTAATATACTAAGACCAGACATTCTACATATCGAATGGGATAAGGTTTGTGCTTCATTTTTTTATCTTTGCCTTACATCTGTTTCTTAATTTTTTCTTCTACATTTCTAGTTTCTAAACTACGGAAAATCGGTTGTCTTCGTCATGGAAAGTTGCATTCCATTGAAAAGAGAACTGAGCAAGACAGTAACCAACAAAGCAGCGAAGGAGCAATATGCGAATGGAGATAAATCGTCGTCAGTCAATGTTGGATCAATTAGGTTAAAAGGACAAATCAAATACATTCCATCGTGGCACAAGTTAGCCTTTCTTTGTCATCCAATGTAAGTTGTTTCTAGCAAAGTTAAATGCGTGAAAGACTTGATGTCAACGAATAGTATCCGTCTGAAGTCGCATTTCTTTAATAAAGTTCATTCAAGACTTCTGAATCAGACTCGAGTCTAGTAATTTCTATCATAGGGATATTGTACAAGATAGGTTTACCGTTTAATATACATATCAGTGACATCTAAAGTATTAGTAGAAATACATTAAAGAAAGGAGTACAGTCTATATCTCTATTACATATGGAAATTTATCACAATTCGACAGTAATTCGAAAAAAAGAAAAAGTAGCGCGGCTTGGAGCCCATAAACATTTTCTCCTCCTGTTTATTACAGCATTTAAAAGAAATTTTAGACTATATAACAAGGAAGTCAGAATTACGAAAAAAGATACAGCTTCTGAGTTGTGCAGAGTTGCGCTAGGCCGTAGCCAATCACATACCCCCAGCACTTCTTATTACTCTGCTTGCTAATACTTCAATAGCCCAATTAGCAGTAGTTTCTCGTAGGGCACAAACGGACCATTTCCAAGAGTGCTTAGTTCGATGAGACGGTTGGCAAAGGGTTTCGGCTGACTGCATTTTGTTGAAAATATTTCGTTTAAAGGTTCGAAAAGCGACTACGAGTAGAGATCTATTGATCAATAACTAGGTTTTCACAGACTGACGATTTAGTTTCGATAACAAGTGTCTTTGCTCACATAGAACTCCTTCAATAATCTCGATCAATCACGCCTGACAATCATGCAAAGTACGTCGCAGTCGACTAGCGATGCAACCTCTTTATATACATTCTCTGTGTCGGTATGCTTGCGTGCAATGGAGAGAGAGAGAGAGCTAGTTAGAGGAATAGACGTTGAAATCATGATTAATTGCTGTTAAGAAGTGAGAGTCTTTGTATACAACTTTTTTCTGTAGTAGCATTGTCTACTCTTCTTAGGATGGAAGTTCCTCACAAATATATTCACCCCGAAGAAAGTTAAAGAATGATGACTCTAATCTGATGTAACATATCTTTACTTTCAAAAACAAAGAGCTAGGATTGTACAATTTACGTGCATGCCGTTCTTTCTTTCCGGCTTTTTGCTCCTTGGTCGTGGATCAAAATCTGCGCTACTCCACAAGAATAGACTACTAAACTCTTATGTTTATTCATTTAGCTGTATTCGATCTAAGTACAATTACTGAAAAAAATCCAACTGAAGCCTCATTTAGTTCTGGAAAGTGGAAAATACTTCGAAGCTGCGTTTCGGTAGTATTTGCTAGTTACCTGTCACATCAAACGTTAACTATCTCGAAGTCTGTATCAGCTGAAGATAGCCGGAATACCTTCTTGAAAAACCCATTTCAAGAGTTTTTAGAAACCAATAAATTTATTTTTCACTTTTTTTAATCTACTGCTTTTTAAGAATGATTGTAGTAGGCAAACATCCTTGTCTCTAATGTAAGTGCTCTAAATGAACACAGTTCAAAGTTCTAACTTGTAAGTTACAGGGAAACTATCTGCAAGAACCTAATAATTACGCACGTAAAGTAAGTGTGCGAAGTTCACATATTCTTGCAACTCTTGAAAGCATATACGAAAAAATAAAGAAAGATGTAGCTCACAGTTACCCCTATTTAGAAAAGAAAACTTTTTTAGCTAAAGATTTGATATGCAACTTTTTCTTTAGTTTTCAAATTAACCGTATGCTAGAGAAAAGTTTCTATGATAATTACATAGGTAAGAATACCGTCTTAATTTTTCTAGGTTGACTACAGTGGAAGAAATGCTCTCCATCGGATTATTTCTTAATGATTTGAATTTCTACGATGGAAGTAGCGAAATTTTGATCAGCGGTATTCAACATGCAAGGCAATTGCAGAAAGCAATTGAAAAGGTACGAAAGATTAGGGATTAGTGTTTGTCTTATTTTGAAAAAACACAATGTATGAGGCTTTTGAGGGTCACTATTCATGTAAAAAATAGATTACAATGACACGATTTTAATCTGATTTTTCTAATATTTTTTTTAAATGGGTAGGACGTTTGAGTATAGAGAATGAAAATTCAGAGTTGAAAATATCAGAAAATTAAAAAGCTTCGACGAGTGCACAAGGCAACTTACTGTCTATGCCAAAAGGGGGTTATTTGCACTATATTTTGGTGTAGCAACAGTTATATGTAGTGTCGATTGAACCTTATGTGCCTCTTATTATCGGAAGTGTCTCATTTCAGACAGTTTGTTTATTTCTCAATATAACTTAAACGAAAAATACTTGGAGTGAGACGAAGTCTTCTTATTTACACTCTTCCCACTAGTAGAATGATCTTTCATGATCAAGATAAAAACTCAAATAAACTAATCTCCCAAAATGATTAAGAAAGCAGTCGATTCTTTGACAATTTCGTCCAGGAAAACTTTCATTTGGCGCAGTTTTTTGCATGGCCACGTAAAGAACATATATGAAACGGAAAATCTTTTCACTTTTTCGATGGAAACACAACTGGGATTGAAATCACATAAAAGTTCTCTTTATTGATCGTCTTGACTATGAACTATTGCTCTATCTTTTTTATCTGTTGAAATTAAGAACATCTACAGTCTAAACTATGAACTTTTCATTTTCTTCTTTTAGCAACATGCGTGGGTAACAAAATTACAACATTCAAAGAATGAACTACAGGAATTTCGTATGCAAGGCAAACGTCTTCTTTACTCATTAATGCCACGACACATTGCAAAAATGTTACAACAGGGCGTACTCCCCAATTCAATCTGCGAGGTCAGTTCTTGTTTCAGTTATTTTTTTTGAGATGATGAAAAATTTATTTTTGATATTTATAGTCGCACAAACTGCTGACTGTTCTCTTTGTCTACTCGATTGACATGAAAGACATCGTTCAAAAATTGCCTCCAGAACAAATCGTTGATTGCATCAACAGCACAATCAACGTTTCTGACGTATGTGCAGAAAAGTTCGACGTCTACAAGGTCAGTTACTAGTGGGAGCTTACTGTGATAAACAGACTATCTCATTTTGTTATCGATAGGTTGAAACTAAGGCCGACTCGAGTTATTTGGTTGTGGCTGGTATTCAAGATCGAACTGCGTACAACGATCGACGCGATTCAACTGCGGTGAGTCAAAGTGATTGGCTTTAGAAAATAGCAGCATGTTGCTGAAAGAGGTCCTTATGTGGAACGAAATCTTGTCTAGGTTTTTTATTATTACTTCCTTTTTATCTCGGAAAGAAAGGGTTTTTCAAATTCAAACCACGAGAGACCGAATAGAAAACACTTGTAAGTTCCAAGTCTTGGATAGACTTCCGTCATCGTCTGACAGATGGAAAGAAAAAAACTACCATTTTCATCTTGCTCCACGTCTTTTTACAGAGGATACCGAACTAGAATGCGCTTTTATAAATTCGAAATAAAATAAAATTCTATTTCAGTTTTCTTAAATTCACAAGAAAGAATTGCGAGCTTTTTATGATTATTTATATTCTATGCACACAGAGCTTCAATACAAATTACTCCTCTTCGTCAGCTGGTGGTGATCACACTACTTCACGCCGTCCATCTTCTTGTGTCAACAATCACAATCACGAGACCGAGGCAGAGCACATCAGTACACACGGTTTCAACTTAGTTGCTCCAAACATGAAGAATCCGTACGATATGAATCAAGCTGAAATCATCTGTGCACTCGCTCTCGAACTGATGACAGCTTCACGGTCAGTCATCAACCCATTGACGAAACAACCATTTCGAATGAAGTTCGGTGCGTCTTTTATGATGTCGTGAAAGCTAAAACTTCTCGTTTGATTCGTATGAATAGGTTTTCACTCGGGTCCAGCTGTTGGTGGAATTGTTGGCAATCGCAACTACCAATACTGCCTCTTCGGCGACACAATTAATACGGTAAGTTTATGATTCGACGAAGGAAGCAAAGAGAACTGGTAACTTCATTCAACTTTTTTGTTTTTCAGGCTAGTCGAGTAACAACATCCAGTGAAGTGAGTTCACTCTCCTTTCCACCTTTTTCTCTACAATAAATGATTTTCGCTTCTTCAGTCTGGAAAGATTCACTTCAGTGCTACTTCTTACGAACTCTTGAAAGATTCTGTCTGCTTTGAAACAGCGTATCGAGGAAAAACTGAAATGAAGGTCGGTTTCTTTCTTTGTAAATATTGCTTAACTGAAAATCTTTAATAGGGTAAAGGTTCTATGGACACTTACTGGCTTCTCGGTCCGACTGAAACCTACCTTTCACTCCTCGAAGCTACACGTACTCGAAATGTCCCATCTGTTAATCTTCTAAATGGAAACAAGGAAGAGCCACTTTTACTAGCACCAAGTATTCCCACATCTCCAACTCTCAAAGTGTCCAAAGTAACGTTCAACAATGGCGATCTTATTGATCCAATGTCATCACTGACTCGAACAAGTTCTCTAACGAAGAACAATGTCCTTAACAAGATGAAGGAGAAAAAGTTGTCGTGTCCATTCAGTGGAGCTCAACTCTTATAGAAACTAAACAGCTTACTTCTTCCATTCTTTGTAAATAAAAAAATGGGAACCCCGCATACCTGAGCTTTGTAGTGCACCGTAAAAATTTTCTTCCTCTTACGAATTGCTTACTTAGAAAACTTCTGCTTTAATTTTTGTTTTTCTCCTGTTCACTTATATAAAAGAAAATCAAGCTCAAATCTTACTATTAAATATTTTTTAAATACCTCTAAATGTTCAGAGATGTGCTGTGAACAGGTGAAAGGGCGTCAGTCGATTACTATCGCGTGACGAGTACACTGAAGCCTTCAAGCTCTACTTCCGAAAATTTAGTTTTCGAAAAAATAAAACTGCTAAATTCTAGATGGCAGTACCTAGCAGAACTTTTGAAACTTGAGGGGACGGGTGTAGGTGCAAATGAAATCGAATAATTACACGCACACCCCTCAAGATTTAATGATTAGATTTACTTTTTCTATTAAATATCTCCTTTAACTCTTTCGAAATGATTTGAGCTATTAGTAGATGACAGTAGATTTTAAGGAGGAAACTAATAACAATCAATTGTTTTTCAATTTTCTAAGAAGAAAACGATAGTTGATCTTGCATTTACTACGTGTTCGCCATTGTTCAAATCATTTATTATATAGACAAATAATTTTCATATATTAGCTTTATTTATATAAATCTTAATTTAATTTTGATATTTTCATAATATTAAAATAATGAAATAAATGTATAAAAACTGATAATAATCAAACACAACTTATTTTCATTCTTTCGTTTTTTTCCCTAATGATTACATTAGTTTAGCGTACAATTGATGTTTTTTATGTGAATATAATAATAAGCGTAAATAAATCGACGCAATAGATATGTTTGTTGATATCTATGAAATATCTACATTGGACTATTTCAATGAAAAACTTTTTTTCAGTGATGATGTGTATTGAATATTATATTAAAACCTATAAATGAAATTTATTAAATTCTATAAGAAATATTTTAACAATATTCTATTTATTCAATTTTTTCCTATTCGATTGAAACTTTTTATTAAATGGATAAAAGAAAATGAAAAATAAGAAAATATGTCATATGACGTATATTTCTTTTCGTTCTTTTGATGATAAATGATAATGTTATTTGAAGCGTTACTAGTTGTTTTAGTTATTGAAGATGGTTACGCAAAAAATATATTGAAAGAGAAACATGTACACCTATTTTCAATAGAATACGTCGAAGGAAAAAAACAAATTGTTTTAATATAAATCAAAGTGTTTTCTTAATAAAATAATAATTTTCTATTTTCTTTTAACGTTTCTCAATATTTCTCGTATCGTATCGTATAAAATAATGAAAAGTGAAACTAATTGATGAGAAAATAAAATCGAAATCCAATGTTTTTTCATTTTTATTTAAATAATTTTGTTTTTTTTTTAAATTAATTTGATGTAACATTTATTTTCTCTTTTTTTAATAAATGAAAAGAAAAAAAGAAATTATATATCATATTTATACGTAATTGATAATAAGAAAGTTGAGTCGATATTATTTGTAATAAAAATGATCAAATTTCCTTTACCACATGAAAAGAAACTTCCTCATGATATTTCAATAAGTCGTCCACCAGTTAATAGTGAAAATTCATTAATTGTTGATCGAATAAGTGGTTCACTTATTGGTTTAGCAATTGGAGATGCTCTTGGTGCATGTGTAGAATTTCGATCCAATGAATATCTTAATTTAAATCCCGTTGAAGATTTTATGTCTGGTGGTATGTGGGAATTAACAGCAGGTCAATGGACAGATGATACATCAATGGCATTATGTCTTGCATCATCATTATTAACAAATCATGGTTTTAATCCATATGATCAAATGGTTCGTTATAAATGGTGGTATAAATATGGATATTTATCATCAACTGGAAAAAGTTTTGGTATTGGAAATGCAACACGTCAAGCATTAGAAGAATTTCAACGTCGTCAAAATCAATTGAAAAAAAAACTTAATGTAAAACATGAACGTGAAGTTGATACACTTTCTCAAGATTATATTGAACAAATTAATTTTGATGTTAATTGTAGTGAACGAGATGCTTTTGGAAATGGTGCACTTATGCGTATTGCTCCAATTCCATTATTTTTTTATCGTGAACCTTCATTAGCTATTGAATTAGCAGGTCGAAGTGCTCGTTTAACACATGATAATGATTTAAATGTTGATGCATGTCGTTATTTTAGTGCATTAATTGTTGGTGCTATAGCAGGTTTATCAAAAGACAATCTTCTTAGTAAAAGATTTTATGATATTCATCGACATTGGTTTGGAACAAAAGCTCTTCATAATGATATTATTAATATTCTTAGTGGATCTTTTAAACGATCAAATGGTTATAAAGATGGAATTCGTGGTCATGGACATGTTGTTGCTTCACTTGAAGCTGCACTATGGGCTTTTTGGAAAGGAAAATCTTTTAAAGAAGGTGTTCTTCTAGCTGTCAATCTTGGTGATGATACTGATACAACAGCTGCAATCTATGGACAATTAGCAGGTGCATATTATACTTATCAAAATATTCCACGTCAATGGACACAACAATTATATGCTAATTCATTAATTATGTCCATTTCTCAATGGTTACATTTTTCGGGTTATAGACAAATTGAACAACCAAAACAAAAAGATAAAGATAAAGATAAAGATAAACATATTATTATTCCAATTATTATTCCAACACAAAAACCTATTTATATACAAAGAACATTGGTCAATTGAAATCAATATACAATTTGTACAGAATTATTAGAATAAAACTATATATATGTATATATTATAACAAGTTTTTTCTTTTTTTTTAAGAATTAAGTTTTTTTTTTTGAAAATAGTTTTTGTGAATATATTGTAGAATAAACATATTTTCTTGTTCATACATTCAACGATGATGCTAATAATTCGAATATATTATTTATATTACCTTCGTCAATTAATATTCATGTAGATAAAAATGTTTTCAAATCAATTTATCAGTGTTCAGATATATATATCTTTATCAAGACATTTTTCCTATTTAGAATAATCGTAGAACAATAGAAAATACAAATGATTTCATGATTCTTTTATATTTTAGTAGATTGTCATGTTTAAATTATATGAATAGTTTCAATTTAAATAATTATGCAAATTTTCTATCTATTCATTGTTTTTCTATTGGACGTGCAAAGAAAAACTTTAATAAAATACATATTCTATTTTCTATTCTAAAATATTATTATTTGTCTTCATCCGTTTCATTTATCAATGCTGATCGATATTTATATTAATGATAAGGTAGAAAAATATATCTAATTCAATGACTTGCAATACTATTCTTTATTTGAATTTCTTTTACATGAAATCTTTATTGATAAATGAAAAGTTCAAAATATAGAAATAATGTTACAATGAATTGTATTTATTATATTGAATGATTTAGAAATCTGTTAAACATTGAATAATTATATTAAAACAAAAAATATTTTATGCTTTAAAAAAGTTTTACAATAGAATTTTTTTATGAAATCATTTAATAGAACGAAGAATTTATTTAATTATATAAAAATAAGTTAAAATTCGAATAAACTTAGAAAATATTCGAAATAAGGATTATTTCAAATGAAAAAAAACATTGCTATAAAAGAAAAGAAAATATTTTTCTTTTTCATAATGCAAATTAACCTTTTCACGGACGGTGGTACATATATATATATA